ATTTTTCAAGCTCGCCCGGTGTGGATATGCACTCAGAGTAACATCGCAAACATATTATTCACCTGAGTACACAACACCAACACAGAAAAAAATTCAAAAAATACATGGTTATACAAAAAATTTCTGGTTACAATAATACAGAATTTGGATCTTTTTCGTGCGAATGGGAAATTTGAAAAAAGTCTTTAAAATATACCGAAAAGAAGGAATGTTGGAAGACCTATACAACATTGTCGTACCTGTAAAGAACCAAGGACATCTTGCGGAATTTCTTTTAATTCGTTCACAGTCAATTTGGCAAAATCCGTAGCAACTTTCAATTTGTTTTTTATGGTGTCACGCAAATTTTCAAATCCCTTTGCAACTCTACAAAGAATCAAGTTGTTGTTGAAGATTATATATATATATATATATATATATATATATATAATCATGAATTACCCATACATGCATATAGAGTTTTTAATTAAATGTCACATTACACGAAAAATTTTTAAATACGACAGATAACTTACGATTCAGTCAACTTCTGCCCAAACATCTTAACATAGTCTAAAAACAAAGAACGTAGGAACAGTAGGTAAGCGACGAAAACGGGACCTAAATCTTGTAAACTACTGAATATATTTTAGAAGAATTCAAGAATCCTGCATGTAGAAACTTTGAAAGGTACGGATGCCTATGGGCTATGGCTTTGCAAAAAGTCTTTGCAACAAAAATAAGGGATTTGTATATACTACATGTGCATGATTCCAAATAAAAATAAAAAGACTTCAGAATATTTAGCTATAAGTTTAGTTCTGTATTTGGTTGTGTATGTGTTAGGTCTGTAGCATTTGTATGAAGGATTGGCCAAATATATAATGTCTATATGTTTCACACACAGTTAAATTACACTTTCTCAAACTTTCAAAGTCATTCACGTACTCTATAGATTGCTGTTATTGTTGCTTGATATCGATGATACGCGGACCACCTCACACAAAAGGGTTGATAACAATAGTTGTTTTTGACGTTTAGGCGCGGTTAGTATAATTCAATAACCGAACAAAGTCTGCCAATGCGATAAGTCATCACGTATAATTTGTGTCGAATTTGTAGGCTTTGTTCGGTAATTGACTTTGAAGAAAAAAAAACAACTGCTGTATAACTATATATGTTATTCCAAATGTAGCTATTTTGTTTATATTATTATTATTATTATTATTATTTAAAAATATTTAACAACGGTAGCCCTATCAGTTATAGTTAAAAACTGTTTTCCAAGGGGCCGTTCACACAAGGGGGCGTTCACACGTATATACATATATACATACACATACACTTACACATACATATATATATACATATATATACATATATATATATATATACACATATATATACATATACATATATATATATATATATATATATATACATACAAAAGAAACTTAAACTACAAACTACTATTAATTACTATAATAACTATTTACAAGAATATTTTAATGATTTCAAAATATCATATGGAAACTAATCTGCGCCCCCAACAATAGCTCTAAACCTCTTTATGCCCATTGACTTACTCTTAAGATCATTTGTGAGATCATTCCAACATTTTGCACCAGAGTAACTAATGCTTTTTTTCAAGAAATTTGTATTTGGCTTATCTAACGTAAAGTTGTTTAAATTGCTTCTTAAAGAGTAATTTTGATTATCACAAATATTAAACAAATTTCCTATTGAATCAGGTGCGATCCCATTTTTGACCTTGTACATTAATAATGCTTTTTTGTTACGTCTGCGCTCTTCCAACGTTTCCCAGTTGAGTTGGCGCAGTAACTCCTTTGAAGGAGCATCGTAACCGCTCCCTGTTAAAATTCTAGCCGCTCTATTTTGCATTTTTTGTAGTTTCTGTATGTTATAGTTAGCTGCATTATCCCATACCATGCTACAGTAATCGAAATATGGGAGTATTAAGCTGTTGTATATAGTTTGCAAGACAGATTGGGTTACAAGCGATTTGATCCTTCTCATTATTCCTAAACCTTTCGAAACTTTAGCATTGATTTCATTTATATGGTCTTTCCACATTAATTTGTCATCGATTATAACTCCAAGTGTTTTGCATTTATTAATTTTCTTTACAGGTTCATTACCTATGCTTATTATTGGTTCTTCTTGAATGTTTAGTATTTTTTGTCTTGAACCAATAATCATGTACTCTGTTTTATTGTAACTAAGAGTTAATTTATTTGCGAGAAGCCAGTGGTGTACTTTTTCTAAATTGTTATTCAAATTACTTTGGAGTTGTTGTACTGTCTGACCGGTTGCTGTTATATTTGTATCATCGGCAAACATGCTTGCACTAGCACTGCATGTCTAGACAATTAGGTAAGTCGTTGACATAGATAATAAATAGCAGGGGTCCTAAATTGGAGCCTTGCGGCACACCAGTTTTAATTGGTTTCATTTCTGAAAATATGTTGTTAGCTTTGCAAGTTTGCTTTCTATTGGAGAGATACGACTTAAACCAATTTAATGTTATACCACGAATTCCATACATTGCTAATTTGTTTAGTAAGATTTGATGATCTACACAATCAAATGCCTTTTTTAAATCCAGAAATAAAACGCCGTTCAGAAGTCCATTGTCCATATTGCAATACCATCTATTTGTAACTGTAAGTAAGGACGTTTCGGTTGAATGATTTTTCCTAAAGCCTGATTGCTGATTTGCAATTATGCTGTTACCATGAAGATAACTACACAATTGATCAAATGAAATTTTCTCCAAAACTTTCGCTATAACTGATAGTACTGAAATTGGTCTATAGTTACCACAACAGGACCTATCATCTTTCTTAAAGATTGGCGAGAGCACCGCTATTTTTAGATCATCAGGAAAAATTCCAGATACAATAGATTCGTTAAAAATTTTTGTTAGTGATCTACTGATTACTCCAGCCGCATCTTTAATTAATTTTGGTGGTATTTGGTCATAACCAGTCGATTTAGTTGGTTTAACATTGGAAAGATATTTATAAACTTCATTTTCAGTTACAGAGTGCAGCTTAAATTCAGTTTCACTCTGATCAATATAACTAGATGGTTGAATTGGTGTCCTTTCTAAGTTTTCTGCCAGATTTGAACCTATGTTGCAAAAATAGTCATTTAAGACATTTGTAATTTCTTTAGCATCGGTAACACTTCCATTTTCAGTTTTAATTTCGGAAATAGTTGTTGTTTTTGATTTCTTGTTAATCCATTTATTAATAGTTTTCCACACTCTTGTGGGTTTTTGGTGGTTGTTTCAAAACAGTGTATGAAGTGTTTGGCTTTGGCCTGTTTAATATTTTTAGTTACCTCGTTCCTAGCTTTTTTGTATGCTTGGTGCATATTTAGAGACCCAGTCTTAACTGCTTTTTTTTTTAGATAATCTCTGTTCCTAATTTTTTTCATAATATCTTTCGTTAGCCAAGGTGTATATTCACTTCGTATCCTCCGAGTGATTGGTGGAGCATGCATATCAGCTACAAATAAAAACTTGTTTTTCCAATCCATATATATATAATTAATGTCATCAGACTGTTGATCAAAATCTATATGAAATATTTGTGATAAATCTGCAATAAAATTGTCTTTATTGTAGCCTTTGTATTGTCTAGTATTAACAACTTTTGGCTCACCACGAGGGATCGAACTATGATCACTAATTCCTATATGGTGTACCTCCGATCGAACAATAATTTCAGCTTTATTTGTAAACGCTAAATCGATAAGTGTACTAGTGTTTTCAGTTACTCGTGTTGGTTCTTTGATAAGTTGCTCAAATTGATATAATTCCATCATATCTTTTAATTTATCTGTATGTGATTGCATGCCTTGTTTAGACCAGTCACAATTAAAATCACCTATGCAAATCACTTCTACATTTTCTGCATCTATTTTTTCTAAAACGTTCTCATAATCGTCAAAAAGCTCAGCTTTTGAACTAGGTGGTCTATACCAGGCATTAACGAGAAAGGATTTTGCTTTAGGTTTCATGACTTCTACTGTGACCATCTCAAGGCTTTCTATCATTAACTCATTTCTTAGTTTATAGTTAATTGTGTTCCGTATGTAAAGTAATACCCCTCCTCCATGTCTATTTCTGTCTTTGCGTATAATTTCATAACCGTCAATCAAAACTTCATTGTCAGCTATAGTCTCATCCAACATTGTCTCGTTTAAGCAAATTATATCAAATTGTTTTTTTCTTAAAAATATTCGGAATTCATCAATGTGTTTAATAAGGCTTCTAATGTTTAAATGAGCTATTTTAAATCCCTTAACACTTTGTATTTCTTTTTGAATGCATTCATAATTTATTCTGGTTGAAGAATTTTGCATGCTATCTTGATTATTACGATTTTCTTCAAAACCGGAATACAACATGCTCTCACAGTTATTTTCTTTTAAATCTTGGTCAAAATTTAGCATGCCTTCATAGGTTGTTTTCCCATCTGAAAACAATTAATAGTTTCTGCATGTGCATGATATGAAACCGGCTTGTCAACTCAAAATATTATTCAGACGCGTAATTTTGAAAACGGTGTAATAGTGTCTCGAAAATGGTAAAGTATTTATCTTTTTCTCTCCGGAGGTCCATAGTTTTTTTCCGTATAGCTATTAATAAGGAAAACGAGCTTAATATAACTTGTATGGTCATTTTACCAATAGCATCTTCTACTTCACACGTTTTGATAGTAGCATAGTATTTGGCTCTACACTTCCATTTTGTAACAAATCCAATACTCCCATGGTTAGACTCGCAAAGAAAATTACATTCGGGTGGAACATTTTTCTTCTGACAACACGTCTTTGCGGATTCACCATCTAGAAAAATAACACTCGTCAATGGATTATCTTCTGACCATGCAAAGTAGGAATATCTATACGAGATTATTTACTCGAGAATTGTATTTTAGCGTTCCTATACACATTTCACATGCATAGTGATCTTCCCAGCCTCTCTAGCCCCCCGCCTCCTTTAAATTAGAGCAAGTCCAAAACCGGTAAAATTCGTCTATAGACGAGGTGTTTGAACCACACAATCATGCATCTAACTGTACCTGTGAATTGTGCCGGTCCAAGCAGGATACCTAAAACGATAAGGAAATTGATGTCGTTAAAATCGGCAACTGGTGATTTTAGCATTATAATATTTCCTCCAAACCGCAAAACTGTCAAGGGAAAGGTTTCTTGTTTTTCTAACATAAATTTTATACAAAAGTCTTCTCGTCAAATAATTGGATAAAAATGTCAAAACCCCCAAAACCTAACTCACCAAAATGGCTTGAAATGCCTTTTAGAGTGTCTGAACTTCAGAATCTTCACAGGGAGACGAATCGGATCCCGCCCCACAAGCGAGTGGTACCTTCGGCACCACATAGCCGCCATACTATTTTTAAAATGCCACCTATACTCCAAATTCTGTTGGGAACCCTGAATACACATACGATAATAATTTAAAGGCAGGTACAAACGAGGCCAACATCATCTAATCGTCTTGTTGATCCAACAATGTTGGACATATAGTTGGGGAGCGTGTGCAGTGATCACGCTCAGGCGTAATCATCAAATCCCAATAATCAAGCATAGCTGTAACCGTCAAATGTTGCACATGCATGAAACGTTGGATGAAAATTTTAAATAAAGCCAAATCCAATCCAACATCAGCCAACATCATCCAACATAGTGTTCAAACGAGGCCAACATGTTGCATCATGCAACAATAGCCTTTATAGGGAACTTTAGCAGCGACTATATACGAGTACGAGATTTGATCAAGTGTGAGGAAGTCGTTCTCGTTTCCGTTCAAATGTTGCTTTAGCAGTAAAACGAGAGAAAAAGTTTCGATATATAAACTAAATCTCATGCAGGCTAAAATCCCTTACAAAAATAGCCCCTTCTATGAGGAACAATACATGAATTAAGTGCAAATATGTCATGAATAAGTGGGGTTAAAAACAAGCCAGATATTTAGCTCAACATTTCCGATATAATTTACGCTTCCGCTTTCGCTTTCGCTTTCAAAAAATGCGCTGGATAAACGCTATTATTATGCGCAAGACTATATATAATAATTATAGTAGTTTAAAAATATGTGCAGGCCAATACCAAATATATAAAAATTAATATTTTGATTGAGTATATATAAAAATTTCTGTTACCTAACGAATGCTTCTAGACAAATTTCAGAGATCCCTATAGAATGCCGACGAGAAAATATGCATGTGCATGTTCCCCTCATTGTACCTAGTACTTTCGAATATGAAATAGTACAACTTTATTAGTAGAACTTTATTTAATACGATTAACTTGCTAAATTTTACGTTTGAAAAGCTGATTCAATGCATGGCCGTTGTTTCAGTAAAGACTAAATTCACTAAAAGAAAGCTGCATGTGGATTGATAGGGATACAACTACCTGAAAAATACAAGGGGAACTTCGACGATTCCAGCAAAGGCCCTTATAGTCTATAACTTCCTGACGAAGGGCCTTCGCTCGAAACGTCGAATTTCTCCATGTACTTTTCAGGTAGTTGTATCCCAATCAATCTGCAGCATTCTTGTCATTGGCACTATACAGTACCTACATTGGCACAGTTCGTTATAATTTGAGATTAAATTCACTAAAGTGTATAATTTATTTCTGTTTGCCTCACAGGTAATCCAATAAGATTTGAATACAGACTGAAATAACCATATTCCTTATTACCCTGTGCCTTTTAGCGCAATGGAGCATTTAATTTTTACTCATCTTAATGCCCTTTAAAATTTTATATAAAATTTAAAATTTTCTTTAAAATTTTGTATAACATATACTGTAAACCTCGCAGGATCATGCTATTGTGGCGATAATGTGCAATGCAAGAGGACTGGTTTGGGAATGCAAACCTTACAGTTAGTATTACATCAGGTGAAAAAAGCGAAATTGTGTCCACCCTGTTTATCTAAGATAAGAACTGGGAAATGTTGGATGAATTAAGGTGGCTCCCTACAGTTTACTAGAAAATGGAAGATCTCCGATTTAGACCCAATTTTTCAACAATTCCGGTATGTTAAAAGACAAAGACCTGAGTCCAATTAGAAAAATAATAACTATACAGATTGATTTTTTCGAAAAAAAGGAATCGCAACTGCCTTTGCTATGGCAACAGTGATGATTCAATATGGCCGATATATTGGGTTTAAATTTATATAATTTGAAAATAGGGTCGGTTACCGCCATGGCCTCATTTTTTATTTCATAAAAATAATTCGTTTAGTGATGTTACTCTGAGTGTATATCCACACTGGGCGAGCTTAAAAAATATGCCCGGCCACGGTGGGAATCGAACCTACAACCTTTGGAATACTAGCCCAATGCTCTGCCAACTGAGCTACGCGGTCAGCACGGTTCGAGTAAGTGATATTTCGGAACAGAATCTAGTTCTTTCGATACCAATGTAATCTAGTAAGGGAGCGGTCATTATTTACGGTGGGGGGTGGCACCGAAGAGAAAATGGTTGGGTAAACAAAATTTTGAGTGAGTAAAAGGTTGGGTAAATGAAAAACAAAACAACTCAAGGGTTGGGTAATAAAAATTTATTGTCATATCCAAAGCATAACTCACTGAAATATTGGAGACTAAAAAGCAATGTCAACAGTCATATGTCAATACAATATGTGAATCAACCAGATTTGTTCGGAGACAAATGGTGTCTCCAAAACTTCCAAAGAAAGTACATGTGCAGACAACGTGACACTTTAGACTGCGGAAAATTTCACAATCCGTTATCAAACTATGTCACAGAAGTGGAAAGGGACTTGTGTGACAACTGAATGGTATCTTTTTGTAATGTTTTTGACCAGGGGTGGGCATTTCTTTTTTAATTGATATTTGAGGTTGGGTAATCAAATAGTTTACTTTTTAATGGTTGGGTCAGCAAAATTTTTAGCACTAAAAACATTTCTCTTCGGTGCCACCCCCCACCATAAATAATGACCGCTCCCTAACATGATTTTTTTTCTGTGTTGGTGTTGTGTCCTCAGGTGAATATGATGTTTGTGATGTTACTCTGAGTGTATACCCACACCGGGCGAGCTTGAAAAATATGCCCGGCCACGGTGGGAATCGAACCTACGACCTTTGGAATACTAGCCCAATGCTCTGCAAACTGAGCTACGCGGTCAGGACGGTTCGAGTAAGATCACAAACATCATATTCACCTGAGTATACAACACTAACACAGAAAAAAAAATTCGTTTAGTATTTTGAATCATTGCTATATATGATTTTTAAAAAATTATGTCACGCAAAAAATAAGGGTCACCGACTTTATTTTCGAGTTAAATTACTTAAAACCAAAACGATCTGCCATATTGAATGTCACTGATGCCATAGCAACGGCTACTAGGTGTAGATTTTTAAAAACTCCGAACTCCTTAGTTATTGTTTTATTTCAATCGGATACTCTTTGTATTTCAACAAGTAATTATCATCCAGAAATTCCTGTCCAGATCAGAAAATCTTCCATTTTTTAAAAACTGTTTTAACCAGTAACATGAGTGTACCACTCACAAAGAACAAGAGTTTAGAGTTTGAAAAAGTTTCTAGAACTTTTTCTTTTCAGCTCAGTATTACTGTATCGCGTAGGTACGTATTTGCGTATTTACGTTTTGTTGGTACCCAATGACCTTACCACCAAGGTATATGAAATACGTCATTATGGGACTAAGGAATGTTGGAGTCAATTTATTGTACGGTAGTGTTTGTGTTATACAACTGTGCAAAATATTTGCTGTTTATGTGAAATGGGGATCAGTTTTTGGAAGTAGAAACGCATGCGTAATCTTTATAATTCAAGCATAATCGTTCGAAAAAAGCAAATTGTATGTTCCTATGGTAACAATGCGGTCTAAGCGAGTAAGCGACCTTGAACTATAAATAAACTGGAAGGCTAACTCCTATGCAGTGAACTCTAATAATAACTGGAAGGCTAACTCCTATGATGAAAGTCTATGATTCGTTGAAGCCGGCGCGCGGGAAAATCAGCTTTCAAAAGGACTAAGGAGAGTTTCGAGGAGTGAAAAAAATTCTGTCAAAAGTTTGTTTTCGAGCAAAAATTTGCAAGAAAAACACTTTTTCCATAGGAATACAACAATGATTGGGATTTAAACCAAGTTTCCGATTAGTTCCGACTGTTTTACATCTCTCTGCAGCAAAAAGTAAGGAATTTTGCTTTTGTATTTTGAAAAAATGACGAAAGTTTGGACGTGCCAAAGGAAATCTCGTTGTTCAAACCAAAAATATATACTATAAAACATTTAGACAGTCCCAAAACTTATGTTGTACTAAACCCCAGGTATTGTTATTGATCCTGAGCTTTTAGTCCTTGTTTTAGTCGCTCTTAAACATAAATAAATTGGCGTTTTTCAAGTGATGTTATTTTCGTCATCGGCATCTTGTTGGCCACTACGAGCACTTTGAATATGGCAATATTTTTGTCAATTTTCAAATGCTTTTTTTTCGACCTTAAAACGTTAAACCTTCTTGAAACTTCGCATACAGATGTATTTTGCATGGGTATAAAAAATTCCTGAGGTATGACGTCTTAGTTTTATCTTAAACTTCCCAAAACTCAGAAAAAGCAGCCTAAAACGCGCGCGGTTTTTCAGACCGTTCATGCTTATGGTCGTGTTTTTCGCATTTTTTTTGCTAATTCGTGATTTGTTTGCTTTGTGAATATTAAATTCATTTATCATACTACTGATATAAATTAAATTTGGTAGTATAACTAATATTTTGGGGCAAGATTTTTCTGATCAAAAAATGTGCATATTTTGAAAAAAAAATTTAAAAAGGACTGGGTCTACCTACAAAAAAAGCTTCATGCACGGCTTCAACTCCCCCCCTGACTTAGTCTTCCAGTGCTCCTATGATGAAGGCCTATGATTCGTAATTGAAGCCTATGAAGAAAAATTTGCAAGAAAAACACTTTTCCATGGGAATACTGCAATAATTAGGATTCAAACCTGCAGGTTTTCCGATTAGTTCCGACTGTTTTACATCTCTCTGCAGCAAAAAGTGAGGAGTTTTGCTTTTGTATTTTGAAAAAATGACGAAGTTTGGACGTGCCGAAGGAAACCTCGCTCTTCAACTCGAAAAAAATATACTATAAAACATTTTGACAGTCCCAAAACTTAGTTTGTACTAAACCCCAGGTATTATTATTTATCCTGAGCTTTTAGTGCTTGTTTTATTGCTTCTTTAATGCACCAATTCGTTAAGCAAATATTCTAGGACAATTAAGAAACAACTATGACACACAACGTTGTGGGAGAAGGGTCGTCGAGGAGAAATGCTCCGATTATACTTTAAAAAACTGTGGCCAAAGTGTCGCCCCACAGACTCACTATTACAGCAATATGATTATGATATAATTATATGTCCTCAGGGGGTTGTGGTTCCCCCATGTTGGACTTTACCCAAGGGGTAGTAGATCCCCGAGATGGGCATCTTAAATGTCCAAGGGGTAGTAGATCCCCGTGATGGTCATTGTTTACTTTAATGTCCAAGGGGTAGTAGATTCCCGTGATGGTCATTGTTTACTTTAATGTCCAAGGGGTAGTAGATCCCCGTGATGGTCATTGTTTACTTTACAATACACTGTATAATACATTGATTTGTGTGAGTCTATGGGGTTGAGGGTGACCTTTGGGAGCACTCCATCCCCACAAATACACAGCATGTGTATTCCCCATAGACGAAAAAAACCAACTCCCACCACAACTGTAATCGTATAGAAGACAGATGATCTTTGTGCTTTTCGAAGACATATCGTCTATATTTCTCTTGCTAAAACATGAATAAATTGACTTTTTCAAGTGATGATATTTTCGTCATCGCATCTTTGTTGGGCATTTATGAGCACTTTGAATATGGCAGCCAAACTAGCTTTGATAATGGCTTTGCTTATTTTAACTGTTAAAAGTAAGTCGTGGGTACTTGAAAATAAATACCAATCAGCGTGGAGAATTTTCAATAATCACCTATGTAATCAGTATATACTATAATAAGCACTTTATTAGGTCTAAGAAACAAAAAATGTAAAGAGCATTTTTAGTTTCTAGTTTAGTTTGCAGTTTTTGCTGAATGTTCATTGTTGGGAAAGATATATACATCAGTCAATTCAGTTATATTAAATATCTTGGTCCTCAGTTGTGGAATTCTTTAGATTTCAAATTAACCGAATCCACCGGTCTAAATATATATTTCGTTAAATTAAAAACTTTGTTTTTGAATGCTCTAATTCTTATAACTGAGAATTTAAAAGTTCCAGTCACATGCAAGTCAACTTCCTCATATGTAAATAAGAACATCATGAAAAATGTGAAAGCAGGGCATATTGCAGCCTAATGGGTTATAGCCTGTTATATTAATTGTTGTTAAGATATTGTCAGCTAATAGCTAGCTAATAGCTAGCATACAACAATATTGTTTAAGAGGAATGTGTTGGCTACTAACCCCTCTGTGTACCGATTGGTACATTAAGCTGCTGTGCCCATAATGCCGAAATGTTAATAATAGGTTAAACGCAATTGCCAGTTATCAGGAAAACAGGGAGCACAGCAGATTGTCATTGTTCATGGTCAAAACAGGTACTGCACGCCGGTGCTATAAATTTATAGGCACTGAGTGCAACTTTATATTGACAGTGAATATGTGTAGCAATGTTTAAAGTAACATAATTATTTGCTACAAACAATTCAGTGAAACTTCTCATGCAACTCAGCCAAGACATTAGGAAGTGTTTTCAGTTTTCTATAGCTGCAAAAATGGTTCTATAAGTGCATGTTTTTAGCAATAACTAAAAGATCCTATTACACCGTCTTAGAATTGCGAAAACCTAATAAACAGTATTGCATAATACCCCACTGTGTAATTTTTACCCAAGTTCAGAAAATGAGGTTTCACTCAATGCAAAGATGGTTTGTGAAATGAATTCCAAATACTAATTTGCAAAAAAGCGATGCTAGTTTTATGATAACATAATAGTCACCAGCTTACGGCAAGTTCCAACGATTGTGATATTGCGACAGTGCGCCATGCAGGTAATGTTATAGAAAACAAACATTTTCCGGAAACATTTATCAACAAGACAGAACGCAAATGTTTGACGAACGCGTATAAATTAAACACGCACACAAGCGTATATTGAACACCCGCAGAATATGCTGTTATTTTATACAATTTAGTTTGTTCCGCAGTTCACTTAATTTGCATGCAGCTTAAAACGTAGCAGCTTAGTGCACAAGCCTTAAGTGTCAAAATAATTTTTGTGCACAAACATTAAGTAAACTCTTTTACGCGCACAAATTACCTTTGGTGTCCTCGTTATATACAGTAATGATTAAAAAACATTCTGCACAAAGTCAAGTCGGTTCGACTAGTTGGTGATATTTCGTAACTGAGTCTAGGCCCTTCGATATCAATGTGACTATTCTGACCTCGTAGCTCAGTTGGTAGATCTCAGTTGGTAGATTCGATTCCCACCGTGGTCAGGCAAACTCTTCAGATTTCCCGATACCGAAATTGGTGTAAATTCTTCCAGCTGTGTGGACACCGCGATTTAGTGTTTACTTACACTCATTTTGGTGTTAAAATACACCTTTTCAGTGTTAAATAGATGCAGCTGTGTGAACACCGAATTGGTGTAAATCTACACTACGAGTGTAAAATAGCACCTCCGAAGATTTTTTAAACTCTTTTGGTGTAAATAGCTTCAGCTGTATGGACACCGATTTGGTGTAAATCTACACTACAAGTGTAAAACAACAGCTCCGAAGATCTTTTTAGACTCTTTGAATGTAAATAGCTTGCAGCTGTGTGGACACCGATTTGGTGTAAATCTACACTACGAGCGTAAAATAACACCTCCGAAGATATTTTTATACACTCAGATCGAGTAACACCCAAACATCATATTCACCTGAGTATACATAACACCAACACACAAAAAATATTCTGCACAAAGTGGACTGGTGTATGACAATTTGTTGTACATGCTATATTAGGAAATTTTGAAGTGATGTCAGTGACACATTAATTAAGCTAATAGTTTATGCAATATCAATTTTCCAGGTCAGAGGTTGTGTTTAATGTTATTTTAAAGTAACAATCAAGAACTAATAAAGTCTGGACAACCACTAAGTGGTAGAATTGTCATCTTATGATGTTTGAATAATCCCTGGACTTTGAGCTTAGAGTATACACCTAATCTCCATTTATAGCATGCAGGTTAACGCATAATGATTGCATGTGTACAATTAACATAATAATAATATACATAAAGATATTACTCGACTGTGATTGGTTGATTTCAGTGCAGTTAATCCCAACAGCAGTGCAATTTTCTGTAATCACAGTGCAATTTTCTGTAATCACAGTGCAAAAATCTGTAACAAACTGATCTGATTGGTGGAAAAACATTGTGATGATTAAATCAACCAATCAGTTTAAAGCAATTTAGTTTAAAGAAGTAACGGTCACACCGTCACAGATTGCTTCAAAACAAAACAAACATGGCGCCGCGTTACATAAAGTAAAAGATACCTTCGCGTGGAAAATATGGCTTTTATCTTTATTTTTAAATGGAAAAGCATTTACCTTAAACAAGACTAACAAAAATTACATAGTTGAGTGGAATTTTCAAGCTGTTAGCGTTGTATAATGTGATATAACAAAGCCAGGAAAAGTTTGCCGGTGGAATATTCGCTATAAACGCGTAAGTTAAAACTACAATTATCTCGAAAATTTTTATGTAAATTATTAATAAGTAATAGCATGGTTTCTCGTGAAATTTGGATAAACATGCACTCGTGAGTTTTTCAAAGACATCAAATAGCACTCGTCCTTCGGACTCGTGCTATTTTGAGGTCTTTGAAAAACTCACTCGTGCATGTTATATCCAAATTGCACTCGAAACCATGCTATTACCTATTCTAATTAGTATAGGTAATCATGCGATGGCGAGTACAATTTGGGATTAATAGTACGAGTGATGTTTGGAAATTTTGCCAAATCGAGATAAACAATCGGCTATAGTTTGTTATAAATACCAGGAACATGCTTAGCCTTAAACATTATGTTGTTTTGTAAACAAACCAAAACCATTTGACGAACAAACCACACACGATTTTTTTTTGATGACATGAACCAGAGCTTCATTGTCAGTAAATAGTAAAATAGACTGATTGCGCATTTGGTTCCCCCATAAGCACAGACTGGCTCGGAACAATTGGATAGAACTCTAAAAATGCGATATTACGGTGTAACCATAACACCATTCGGTGCCAAATATGGCTGCGAAACCATTAGACCCTGAAGCGTCTGTAAACAAATTAAGCTTACTGGAATTGCACCAAGTTTCGTCCAGGAAAAATGAAATGCCATTGAAAGAAGATAAGAATGTTTGCCAAATTTTCAAATCCTCCTTAGAGCGCCTGACTCGTAAACGAAAGAAATGTCGCGGGTTCTGAATGCCTTGTGTGAGGTCAATGAGACGCCGTAAAAATGCGCGACCTGCCACAATTACGGAACAAGCAAAATTTAACAAGCCGATCAAAGATTGAAGGTCTTTTAGGGTAACCTTTTTGCGGTTAAGAAAAGACGCGATAGTGTCGACACATTTTGCAAGTTTGTCTGTTGGCAGGCGCGCTTGCAATTTTATAGAGTCTAACTCAATACCAGCAAATGTAAGAGTTGTTGCAGGGCCGCACGTTTTCTCTGGTGCAACAGGAATACCGAGTGTGGCGCATACATTTAGAAATCTATCCAAATTACTCCGGCATTGGGTATGAGTGGCGGCAATTAAAAGAAAATCATCTAAAAGATGAAGGAGTTTATCGATATTGAATTTATGTTGAGCAATCCATTCGATCAACGGCTGTACTAAATATATATTTCAAAAGTCTTGCATGAACTGGGGCATCCCATCGACATGCAGCGATCAAAATAATATAACCCCCGCCATTTCATTCCTAAAAGATGATAGTCTTCAGAATGTATTGGCATCATGGCATGATACGAAAAGCGTTCTTAGCTGTATGGGAATGCTTAGAACTTAACATAGAGGTGTGTTATAACCCTTTCGTAATCGTTATCTATATATAACTGAGTCTGTTCAAGATATATATACCTTAGGTATTTCCTCTCTCTGTCAGTTTAATATATAATACACCACGGCTTATCATGCAATTGTAATAACCGACTTATCTCCCCGAAGTCTAAGACAAAAGGCATAAAACTCCTATTTGCACGCAAATATTTTCTATATATGTTACAGTTTTAAGTCGCAACACATTGAACACCAAAGCTCTCTCTTTGACAAACAAAATCGTCTGCTGCTAGGCAGAGTAAAATAATAAAAGTAGGGCATATTGAGGTGCAATGCAACTTAATGTATTACAAAATGGTAGAATCAGCAAGGGGTTTTTTGCAGGGGAGGGCGGGGGGTATTGGTCAGCAGCATACTCTCATGAAAGTGCACCTAATAGTTTCTTAATGGTTACAATTTACAGTTATATGTCAAGGGAATAACTAATTAATAACATAAATCCTAATTATCTTGATACTGTGATTGTATGAGAGAGAAAATGAAAATTTTGTCATAGTTGAATATTTGATTGCTTTTCTAATTTTTATTTTCATTATCAAATACTTATCATGTTAGACGTTTATTAATTGCAGAAAATTAAGAATTTGCTTTATCAACCAAATTAAGTATTAAACAAAATGAATTATTAATATTGAACTTATTAGTATTCGAACTACTGTTGTGGTGCTATACCTTGAATTCCAAAACCTAACCAGTTAGGCTAATTAGACTAATAACAATCTTTGAATACCTCAAACTTTTAAAAGTAAGATAAATTTAATTTTTTGCACCCTTGTTGACCAAGGCCAACACGGCTGCACACACCTGTCCACCTCCTACAAATCCTCCTACACTTGAGTTACTCAATACACTGGACAATAAATCTAGCTGGAATTTGTACCCTTGGGCAAAGATCATAATTTTACACAATGTGTGACGAAAGGAATTATTAGGCTTGATCAACTAATTTGGAAAGACGACTACTACATGCATGTCAACTTCCTCATAGGTAAATAAGAACATCATGAAAAATGTGAAAGCAGATAGGGCACATTGCAGCTTAATGGGTTAGCGTATAATATTAATTGTTGTTGAGATTTTGTCAGCTAATAGCTAGGTAATAGCTAGCATACAACAATATTGTTTAAGGGGAATGTGTTGGCTGCTAACACATTAATTAAGCTGCTCTAGCTGAACTATATATAATGCCCACATGTTTATTAAATACTTTAAACATAATTCTCAGTTGAATTTCGTTCTATCAATAGCATGTATTCCAATTGACGTCACAAGACTGTAGTTTGTCCGGATATTCCCATAATTCCCAAAAGGCTTAATAATTGAATATAGTTCATTTTCATTCATTTGAAAGTCAATTTCAGTTTGTTTGTCCAAGGTTTGTTCTATAAATAACAACCTTAATCTGCACCATTTATGTCTATAATGTGCATCGAACCATAATGAAACACTTCATATACCAAGGATTTCCACATGAATGCAATTGCAGAATTTGAAATAGCCTTATAGCCAATAAAATAAAACAGATGTACTTTAAGTTAATATGTATATACTCATAATTTAATATATTAACCGACCAATTATAGGACTGTAAACCAATAACTGACCATATCTGGCTATCTAGCTGTATATCGACTAATATGTATTCAGTAATTTGCAAGCTATTTCAACATTAATGTACTTATATATCAAGAAAAAAAGGAGCACAGCAGACTGGCTGTCATTGTTGATGGTCAAAATAGGTACTGGAAATATATATTCGCCGAGTATTAAATGCATGCACTTTATATTGACTGAATATTTGTAAAAAATGTTTAAAGATCTATGGCTATACTTCAAACAATTGAAACTTCTGCAACTCAGCCAAGACATTAGGAAGTGTTTTCAGTTTTCTATAGACTTTCGAATAGTATTAATACAATATACCATACATGTTCACTGAACTGTCAAATTATATTCCATGCCCAATAACTATTATATTTACATTCTATATGCTCGTAATATACATACCGACAAAGCAGATCAATGCAGCAACTATGAGTGTTGATAAAGACTTCATTTTTGGCAAGAGAATTTCGTTTATGCGACCTTGAACAGCGTCTTTGCACGCATGTAAATAGCCCAGTTGGCGTCCGCAGTAAAAGAGAGTTGAAAGTTGGAATTTGCAATGTTTATATTGACTATCAGAACGGAAGTAAGCTACCGGAAATCGATGTTAATTAATAAACCCCCCGCATGACATAGCCAAAATGCGGATATAGATTCACGTCTCGCTGTTTATGAGTTAGGATTAGGGTGAGGATTAGGGTTAGCATTCATAAATAGCAAGACATGAATCTATAACCCAAAATGCTGGTTCGCTGGGCCGCTGGCCTCAGAGTGACGAAAAGTAACAAAGCAACGGTTTTACTAACACTAACTCTATTCCAAACAAAAACACCAATTCTAACTCTAACCCTAAAATTATAACACTAACCTAACCCTACTCCAAGTTTGTTTCTAAACCAAATAACCAATCTTGAAGAAAAAAGTTTTGAGGAAATGTCATTCTGAGGTCAACGAAATAACTTCTTCCATGCGTTAATAAATTGTAAGTTTTGAAGGATATGCATATGTAAGGTATGTTTGAAGGAACCGACTCACAGAATTTATCCATGCAAAATTCATACTGTGATCACAGAAACTTTGATAGTGTAAACCAGCCTAAGATGGCTCAGGGCACGAGATTACATCACACAGATTACATCAACCTGCCGTTGATGCTAAATTTTCAGTACGATACCATGCATGCGGTGGCGGTCAAGTCCACGTTTTGATGTCATGATGTGAATATATTGATCGGCTGCACCACAGCGAACAGCAGAGGAAATGTGCATCTCAAACTCATTAATAATTCATGAGCAAATTAGCGAATGAACTCACCCTAATTCGTCACATGATTGAGGTTGGATACCGCAGGAAACACGCTAAAAATCATATACCATCACTGTTGTTAGATGAAAAACGGTTTTCATCTAATAACTGAGATCCTAATTACAAATTCAAGTCAAAACACAACAATATACTATAATAATATATATAGCCAATGAAATGTTTTCGTTTGAGATGTTGTGTAAACAACTCGTTTCTCGTGTTTCATCAGGGGACCAAACACTCGAAAACAATAAAACACTCGCGCTTCGCGCTCGTGTTTCATACAGTTTTCTCGTGTTTGGATCCCCTGATGAAACACTCAAACTCGTTGTTTACATATAACATGCACACCCCAAATGATCAATGGAAGAGCGGCGCGGCCACTGAATAGGAAGAAATGTGCTATGTTCATTTCATTGGTGCCTTTTGTCTCAAAACCATTACACCAATGTTAGCAATTTCATGCTTCGCTTCGGCAAATAACATCGACCTCGGTCTGACTGTGATAATTCTTGATATCCATGCTCCATTGCTCTGCCTCTACCTGCAGAATAATTGTTTACGGCCTGTAGCTCATGATCAACCAAACAGGGGCCGGTTGTATAAAAAGGTAGGTACTGGTTAACTAAAGCCTGACTAAAGTTAGGGACGGACCATTTGATTTTTGATGGGGGGGGGGGGGAGATTTTCAGTTTGCTCGATATTTTTTTTCCGCCTCCTGACACTGTTCGATTTTTTTTGTCAGTCAGAGGACTTGCACGATATTTTTTGTATGCATGTATATACATTTTTTAGTTTTTTTGGTTTTACATTTTTTGGTATATAATAGGTAATTGGGCAAGTACTGGTGTAAGACATTGTGTAGCCTAAATAATGAGAGGACCAGCATTCAAAAAATGGTTGTTCTTCATTTCTTTACTCCGACTCCTATGATGAACATGTACGTAAAAACTAGGGAAACTACGATTATATATAGAAACTAAAGTAGGTGAAATTTTTATGGGACTCCATAAAAGGTGAGGATATAAGAGTGAGAGATTGAAATTGAGTAGGAAAGGCAACCCTACACGCGTTTCTACCTAACAGCCTTCTTCAGCAGGCTTTTTCAAAGGGGGGGGGGGTATATAGAATTTGCAGAGGAGAAGAAAGGAGAGTTTAGGAGTTCGGAAAATAATGTGAACTTGGATCTTCTACGTAGCAAAATCCACACCAGAACTAGCTATAGCTATCTATTGGTCATATCGTATCATTCATTTACTAATCTCTGTTTTGGTTTTGTTATATATGTACATGTTTTAGTTATTATTGTATATTCATATATTTTAAACAAAAATCAAACCCTGCACGGTATTATCATTATTTTTATCCCTTATGTATCACTAATTGCCAAACGCCCCTATCCCTGTCTTATAAGCTCCTACACCACTAACACCATATTTGGATGCAATCACCTACAGTCACATGATCACCCTTACCATCACAATCATTCAAACTCACTATACCATTGAGTAAATTAACCCTTAATTGAAGGACCTGCAAATTTGCTTCACTTCACCAGTACGAACGATGAACAATAAAGTGCGTAGTGTTGGAATGTCCCGCAAACAACAAGACCTTTGGTAGGATAACTTGACTAATAACATGTATATAGTAGTTACATCCTTTGACTGTGTAATTGGTTATTTTCAGTTATTTCGTAATAATTTGTTTTCCTCTTGGTCTCACATTATTTTCCGAACTCCTATAAACTCTCCTTCCTTCTCCTCTTCAAATTATATATACACTCCCCCCCCCCTCCTAAAAAACCCTGCTGACGAAAACTGTTAGGTCGAAACGCATACCCCTGTACGCTATTCCTACTCAATTTCAATCTCTCGCTCTTATATCCTCGCCTTTGATCGTGTCCCATAAAAATTTCACCTATTTTAGTTTCTACGGCTGAGATTTAATCGTAGTTTTCCTAGCTTTTTACGTACATGTTCATCATAGGAGTCGGAGTAAAGAAATAAAGAACAACCACTTTTGAAATTATACTGGTCCTCCCATTATTTAGGCCACAGGGCCGTAGGAAGCTCTTTTTGATTGGGGGGCTGAAAGCGAGGGCCGAAGGCCCGAGGGAATTTTTAAATTTAGAGTCTCTGAAATGCCATGTCCTGGACCCTGCAGCCCCCCAGCCCCCCGGTTGCTACATACGGCCCTGGGCTACACGCGGAAATGCACCGAATAGCAAACAAGGATTACCAATCGAAAGCCTTGCTTGATATTTTTTTTCGTCCGTTTATTCTTGCACGATATTTTTTTTAAGTTCGAATTGCTTGCCCGATATTATTTTGGGATTCTACCCCATCAAAAATCAAAAGGTCCGTCCCTTAGTGCGATAGTTATCCAATCAAAATCATCAATAAAATTATAGTTAAGAATTATATACAACCGATCCCTTGGGGCCGGTTGTTCAGAGGTGGGTTAGCACTAACCCTGGGTTAAAATTTAACCTGCTGTTTTTGTTTATGTATTTCTGCGCGTCTGTTTATTTCAAAACTTCAGAGAAGTAAATTCCTATCGATCCGGACAAGATCTCTGAAGAAATATTTCCAAATGTATAGACAAGCTGTCAGGAAGTTTGCTCTGAATTTTAGCTTAACCTGGGTTTATTAGCTAACCCAGCTTTAAACAACCGGCCCCTGGGGTTTAGATAGCTCAAATACGGCGGATGGCTATATTATAAAAGTCATATCTTCGTTTGTTTAAACCCACTTCACTGCAAAAGACCTATTTTGGCTCAAAAACGTGAATAAAATAATGCACCCACATGCAGTGATTCAAATTATTGAGTAAAATTGCATGGGAGAGACAAGGACACTCTCGTTTTGATGGGCGTACTTCAAATTCTGCAGAACAAGGCTGCCAATTGACCTTATGCATAATGACATATATATATATATATATATATATATATATATATATATATA